AGCCTTCGCCCGACCGGGCGGCCTTCGCCGACCGGGCGGACATTGCCCGGTCTGACCGGGCGGTGGGGGTTGGATACGTTGAAGCATTCGTATGGAGTTTTCTTCTCGCGCCCGATCGGGCAGACCTTGCCCGGTCTGACCGGGCGGAGAAGGAAAAATGCGGAGACGCGGATTTTACGATTTAAAGTTATCTTTTATGTTATCTTTTTGCCCAAGTATCTTTTATTTTAGGGATTAATATAAAACCTCCCTAATATTAGTATAAGGGTTAAGAGAGAGAGAGTGAGAGCCGTTCTTGAGAAATACAAGAATCATCTTTGTAATCTTTGCAGTTTATAGTGAAATCATTCGATCTCGGTGCCCGTGGACGTAGCTATCACATCGATAGTGAACCACGTAAATTCTTGGTGTTGTTCTTATTGTTTGCATTGAATTTCTTTATTGTTTTCTTGTTTGTTTTCGACCTTTGCTTCCGCTGTCGCACAACAGATACTGAGATCCTTCATTGCGAATTCGGAGTGAAGCTTGGCCATGATAGACAACTGAAGAGCTTTGGATGATGTGGTGAGAATTATGTCGTCGACATATAGGAGTATGTATGCAATTTCCTTGCCATGTGAGTATATGAAGAGGGAATGATCGGATTTGCTGTGAATAAACCCGATGGTGGAGACAAAGTTGGCAAATCGGCGGTACCAAGCTCTTGGGGCTTGTTTCAACCCGTAAAGTGCCTTTTTGAGAAGACAAACATGAGAGGGATTTCTAGAGGCCCGGTGGTTGGTGCATATAAACCGTTTCGTCAAGACTACAATTTAGAAAAGCATTTTTTAACGTCCATTTGATGAATGGGCCATGACTTGGACAAAGCAACGCTTAGGACGGTTCGGATGGTAGCGGGCTTGACCACGGGACTAAATGTTTCATCACAGTCCACATCAACCTGTTGATTCCTGCCATTAACAACAAGACGGGCTTTGTGCCTCTCAAAATCACCATTAGCATTTTTCTTGTGGCGATATAGCCCCATACAAGGTATAACATTAACATTTGGCGGGCGGGGCACCAACTCCCATGTCTTATTTTTAATTAAAGCATCAAATTCATCAAGCATGGCATTTTTCCAATTCATGTCGGATAGGGCAGCAATTGGATTTTTTGGAAGAAGAGAAGGGGTGGAAAAAGCAGTTAAGTTGAATTGGCGTTTGGGCTTAAAGATCCCATGAGTGCTTCTTGTAGCCATTTTTGGTGGAGGTGGGTTGCTGCGGATTTGGTCCTGGGCTGGTATGGAAGGCCGTGGGTAATCAGGAGGTATTGAGGTGGGAGTGGTGATAGTGGGCTGTGAAGGGGAGCCCACTTGCTGCTGGGCTGAGCCTGACGGTGAGGGAGGTGGGTTTGGGACATGGACAGTGGGAATGGGATTGGCAGGTTGGGCTTGACTCAAGTGGTGGATAATATGAGGAGAGGGCCCAACATCTAAGAAGTCATAGGTATGGGCTAAGGGAGTGTGAATTTTAGAGAATGGGAATTGTGTTTCATCAAAGATCACATGCCTAGAGACAAAAATTTTGTGAGTAGACATGTCGTAACATTTGTAGCCACGATGGTTTGGAGGATAGCCAAGTAACACACAAGGAGTGGAGCGGGCTTGGAGTTTATTTATGGAAGTGGAGGGGAAGAGAGGATAGCATAAACATCCGAAAACCCGTAAATGAGAGTATGATGGGTCTTTGTGGTAGAGAACTTGAGTTGGAGATTTAGATTTGATAGTTTTGGAGGGTAGGATGTTATGGAGATATGTGGCCATTTGAAGGTCATGATGCCAAAAAGAGGGAGGCATGGATGAGTGAGCAAGGAGGGTGTGGACCATGTTATTTATGGTTCTTATTTTTCGTTCGGTCTTGCCATTTTGGGAAGATATGTGGGGACAAGAGAAGCGGAAGAGCATACCATTTTGCTCACAAAAAATACGAAAAGACTCATTGTCATACTCCTTTCCATTGTCACATTGAAAACATTTAATTTGTTTCTCAAATTGGGTAGTGACATAGGCACGAAATTGCATAAAATAGGAGTAAACTTGAGATTTTTTGCAAATAGGGAAAGTCCAAAGAAAGTTAGTAAAATCATCCAAAAATAGCACATAGTACATATGTCCGGCCGAACTAACTTTTGGGGACGTCCAAAGATCACTATGCACAATATCAAAAGGCATGCAAGTAGTTGACATAGATGGATAAAATGGCAATTTCACATGTTTACCAAGAGGACATGAAGAACAAATAGAAGCATTTAAAAGTCTATTACATTCAACAAAATTGTTCTTTCTAAGAGTTTGCAAAATATTAGTGCCGGGGTGGCCGAGGCTATCATGCCAAAGAGAGGGGGAGATTGCGGGAAATGTGGAAGAGCAAAGGGCAGTGGGTGCGGCTTTGGTGAGTGGGTAGAGATCACCGGAGCTCTCACATCGCAAAATGGTTGTCCCCGTCGGAATGTCCTTCACAGAAAAACCAAACGGGTCAAACTCAATTAATACCCAATTATCAAAAGTGAATTTTCTAACCGAAATCAGATTTTTAATTAACTTGGGAGCATGAAGAACATTATTTAGGGATAAGGGAGGTAGAGGTGGGGGAAGAGAGGTGTTGCCAATGCCATGAATTGGAATAGAATGCCCACTACCAACAATTATATTACGATGAATGTTGCTCAAATTAGAATAAGATTGGAGAGTACCTTGGTTTGAAGTCATATGGGAGGTGGCGCCGGTGTCCATGTACCACCCCTCGTCCGGCGGAGTGAGGGAAAGAGTGTGAAGAGCACTTTCGATGTCGGTTGGAGCATAGGTTGAAGGAGGAGGTGTGTGGGCAGAGAAAGCTTTCGGTTGTGGCCTAGGTCCCAGTACACCTTGCTGGCGCGGCCCAGAAGGGCGAGTCCATGAGGCTTTTGGGTAGGGACATGGTGGAGCAGCCCAATTTTGCTGAGCCCATGGAGCCCATGGTGGGTATTGATGTCAAGGAGCCCACGATTTCCATTGTTGCTGTTGTTGATTGTTGTTATTATTACCACCGCCGTGGCTATGCTGTCCACCCCCGCGGTGGTTGTTGTTCCGGCCGCGGCCACGACCGCCGCCGCCGCGGTGGCGACCTCCACGACCCTGAGATTTGTGTCCACGGTGAGATGAGCGATTTTGCGAGTCAGAAGCAGGGGAGGGGTCATTGTGATATGAAGCGGAGTCGGTTCCAGCCTAGCAGCTATGAGGGCGGAGCCAGCCACAATTGCTTCACTGGCAGCTTGGTCCGCAAGATGAGACTCTTCGAGGGTGAGCATGGACCGTGCCTTATAGAAGGAAGGCAGAGGGTCTGATTGGTGGAGGATAGTAGCAACACCGTCATAGGATTTCGGAAGACCGCGAATAAGGGTTAACACCAAACGATGGTCGTTGACCGGAGCACCAACATTAGCAAGTTGGTCGGCTAGAATTTTTACCCGTTGACAGTAAGCATAGACATTAGGGAAGTCTTTCATCTCGATGCTAGAGAACAATCCCTCCAATTGCACCGCACGAGAGCTTTTGTTATCTTGAAAGATATCACGAAAGCGTTCCCACGCTTGTTGAGCCGTGGAATCTGGGACCAAGATGGTTTGAAGAAGGTCGTTGGATATAGTCCCATATATCCATTGAAGCACAATAGCATCAAGGCGCTTCCAAACAGCTGGGTCGGCTGGTTCTTCTTTGTCAGGAGGTGGGATAATGTGATCGATAAGGTCGTATGCATGTGCGTGAACCTTAAATAATTTAGCCCAAGAAGAATAGAGAACATTTTTCATTTCCAATGTAATGGGGATGACACTTTTGATGTTATTGACGGCTATAGCAGGGTGAAAAGGGAAAGATTTTGGCTGTTCTTGGGCCATGGCAGCAGAAGAAGAGAAGAGGATGGGAGGCAGAAAGCAGAGAAGAGATGAGAAGGAGGAGACGAAAAGACAGGAACCCTAAACCTTGTCTGATACCATGTAGGAATATGTTCCGTGCCTTCTCATTGCTTAGTATGTGAGTATATATACAGAGTACATTGGGAATGAAAATCAATTATAGTAAATACACAACTACACATTTACATAGGCTAATAGTTTTGGTTGATGTAGCTTGTAAAGTTGTAAGTATTGATATTTGTATAATGTTTAGTTATTCAAAACTCAACTCAGTCCAAAGTATTAGTCAATGGTCATAAATCAACATGTTTTACAGAATTAAGAAGTTGATCATTATTTGTGATTAATTATACAGAGTACTTTTTAAGATTAAAACCGGAGTACCTATTAGACCTGGCAAATGGGTCATTTGGGTCGCGTATGGGTCGGGTCAAGTTCGGATCAAAAGGTTATCGGGTCAAGTTCGTGTCGGGTCGGGTCATTTCGGGTTTCGGGTTGATTTTGGGTCGACTAATAATCGGGTCTCGTGTCAGCACTTCGGGTCGGGTCAAGTTTGGGTCGGGTCAGTTTGGGGCGGGTTAATTTTCTGGTCGGGTCAGTTCGAGTCAATTTTTGAGTCCAATTTTCGGGTCAACTTCGAGTCGAGTAATATTCGGGTGATTCATTGGTTAAATTCAACTCTATACATATATTTATTTATTTATTGACGGAAAACTCAATATACTAGTATTTATTAAGGCTATTTTTTCATGGAATATAGTAATTGTTTGACTTTTTTTGTGTGTGTGTTTAGACTCGGAATCAATTTCAGGAACTCATGAAACTAAGAGGGATGCTCTAACTAATTGAGTTATACCTCACTCTCTTATTGATCTTAGTTTTAATACTCCCTCCGTCCCAAATTACTCTTAGCGATTTAACATTTTGCACTATTCACACATCTCACTTTGACAATTTTTTTTTAGCTATTATATGAAAGTCAATGTAGTCACGTAAGATATTGTTGGGTCTATTATGTATAATTTCCTATTATAAACTTTTTGTAACTTATATAATTATTTACTAAAAGAAGTTAAAGGTTGGGTCATTTTCGGGTCTAGGCAACATCGGGTCAGGTCGTTTCAGGTCTTGGGTCAACTTTAGGTCGGGTCGTTTTGGGTTGGGTCATTTTGGTTCTCAAGTCAAGGTCGGGTCAGTTCCACTTCGGGTCGGGTCGGGTTGATTCGGGTTTTGGGTCAATTTCGGGTCACTGGTTTCGAGTCATTCGGGTCGGTTCAGGATTAGGATTGCCAGGTCTAGTACCTATTAACATTAATAAGATTTGCAAAGTCCTGCCATTTAAAATACTCATTTTGCCAAGGGTAAAATCACTAAAATGTAAGAAGTGGTGAAAGGGTGGCATCTTCACTATTGATGCTTGTGAATAGGAGGTGAGACAAAAATGATCAAAAGCGGAAAGAATAACGTGAAACAAAGGGAGTTACTACTGACTAGGGAGCAAGTGACAAAAGAATAGCAAACATATCAAGATGTTTATAGGAATTGCACAAGTAAACTAATGTTTAAAAACAAAAACATTACAAATCAAGGTTTGTCTTCATGGCTTTAGAAATATCCCGAACAGTTGCAGGCGATGTCCTGCAACACCCACCAATAAGTTTAGCTCCTGAATCACGCCATCTTATAGCTAACGACCCAAAATCATTATCCTTCGAACATTTGGGTGGCTGTAATATTCAAACAAACAGCACAGAGATCATTTAGAAACAACAATTTGAGATTCGAATACCAGTTAAGTCAGGAATAATGAAAAACATGCATAGATTAGAGGAAGCATAAACCAGTGCCTCACCAGCCATTTCTTTGCTTTGCCATCCCATGTCTCACCACTGTTTGGATAAACTGCTATCAACTTGTCTGTCAGCTGTAAATTGGAGAAAGAAGGCAATGAGAATCTCATTAAAAAAATAATAATAATAACTCTGGCAGAATTTAAGCAGATATATGTAAAATTTGATGCAGTATACCTTCTTAAATTTGCGAATTAGACCATCAACATATTGTGGCGGTGCACAGTTTATTCCAACTATTGCAACTTTCTTACTCTTATTGATAACACTGAGACATTCTTCGAAGCTTTCTCCTGATGAGGCATGCTCGCCATCTACTGAGCTATAGCAGATCCATGACGGGATGTTGATATTTTCTTCCTCAAGCAACTCAATAATGGCCTGCAAATTAATATTGCAATTGTGGGGGTGTCAGGTTATTTTCTCATAAGTCACGGAGAATAGTTGCAGACATTTTCACACATGACAGATGTTTGATATACAGTGAGGGGAGCTTAATTGCAAAGTACATATATTTATCCTAAACATCACATATCCAGTTTGGCCCGTCAATGACATCAGAACAATCCTTTGCAAATGAACTGTAATGAAAACGCATTAAACCAGAAACCGAAGAGAGATCAAAGCTCTACTCACATACTCATTCCTTTTTATTTACTTTTCAATTAGCATTGTATAGTTGCCTAGAAAAAAGAATTATTGAACTTATTATCTATCCTGCACTAGTTACTACTTCAGTGAGTTCTGTCTAATCCCTTTGTTTTCCACCTTCTCCACTGTAAACTAAATTCGGCGATAACAGGTGTTTAAAATACACGGGAACGACACTTGACAAACTGGTAAGTGCCTGTCATGTAAGAAGAATTATACAAGACCCAGAAAGTGATTTGAGTTCAAGTCGAACACACCAAAATAAGAACTTGATAGCTTTCTTGAATACTAGCAAATCTTCTCTCAGAATAAGATTAACATGTGAATTGGTAAAGTGATAAACTTTTGGAACAGTTTAACAGCTCTTGACAGTGAATTGAGTTCCCAAACCCAATCAATTTACCAAAGTGTACAGCAAATTAAGTGACATTATTTCTTCTTCATTCATCTTCCATTGGAAATAACTAACAGCCCCCTCAAGATCCAAGAATCCAGTTCCTTGGACATATTCTAGCAATGAGGCAAATTACTCCAAGAGCAAATAAAATAATCAGATAGTACTATCTCAACATCAAGAAGTCAAGATGATTCATGTCTCATTATCGCCTTATTAGTGTCTTTTGATGTTCGATCTGGCCTTTTATTTAGAGATGTATCATGATTATAACAATATCAGTGTCAGAGTAAGTCACCTAAAGGCATCTGAAATCATTTCGAATATAATTTCTGAAATGGATAAAGAGTAATTTCTGAAGATATCTAAGTCAGTTATTATTATTTTTTCTCCCTCTAAATTTGTTGAGGACAATTGTACAAACTAGACATTGACAATATCTTAGAGGTACTAGAGCCATTTACAAGGAATATTGGAATACATCAACAAATCAACAATATATTTGGTCAGGAACATCAAACCTGAGTTTCAAGTCTGTTGGGAATTGTTTCAAATGCTAATATGTCCGGCCTAGCTCCAGCTAAAACTTGTACTCTTCGCCTATGGAAATCCTTTAGTTTCGCCACATCAATATTCTGTCCATAATGTCCACTGCAACAAAGAGAGGTTTACATTTAAAATTTAGATCACCGTATAATCGTATATATACATAGAAAATTCCCACCAGCTTACATCAAAGCTAGTAAATTGAAATCAGAACAGGAAATCATATATTCGGAGAATTGATGCAAGATTAGTTGATTCACAAAGAAATCACCTGTATTCTGAGCCATCAGCAAGATAAGCTCCATAACTGCCTACTGATGCTGCCACCAAGGCCCTATTATAACTATTTTCAGACTTCTTATTAACAGCATTCCAAAACTCATCACGGGCATCAATAGCTAATCTTACACTCTTCTCCAGCAATGACTCTGCTTCTTGCATTGACAGGCCCCTTGACAGAAATCCTGGAATGGTTGCCTGTAAGAGGTAAAACATCTTAAGGTTAGAGTTTTAGACAGATCAATTCAAAGTTAACCTTACCACGACCCATAACCCTAGTATATACAATCTAAAAAGACTTCATCAAGTTTCATGTCACACGAAAGTAGCCCTAGGTCCAAGAAAGAATACATTTTATGACATTCAGGTTACCTTCTCTATCACATAATCCATCTTCATCCTCACTGTCACCAGCTACAGTAATACTGATGATTTTGTCTAAGTCTAACCTAATGGGTAAATTGAAGGTAATGTAAGAAAACTTCCTCATTAGAATTTACCTGTTGGTTAATGAGTTAGTTGATCTACCAATTCTAGAAAACAGATTAGTTGAGTTATTACAATTATATGGCTTCAAGAAGGTGCAAGCCATACATCCATTAAGGTCTTTTGGCTATTCTCAATCTATAAACCATCTTCACCCTCACTGTCACCAGCTACAGTAATACTGATGATTTTGTCCAAGTCTAACCTAATGGGTAAATTGTAGGTAATGTAAGAAAACTTCCTCATTAGAATTTACCTGTTGGTTAATGAGTTAGTTGATCTACCAATTCTAGAAAACAGATTAGTTGAGTTATTACAGTTATATGGCTTCAAGAAGGTGCAAGCCATACATCCATTAAGGTCTTTTGGCTATTCTCAATATATAAACCTTCCTAGTATTGTGGACAATTGGACACAACACAACTAGGATAATGAAAAATACGGTTACTTTCCAATATATACCAATGCAAACCATTCAAGGCCTCATTTACAAGACCCTTTACATGGCTATCCAAGCATATAAGTGTTCTTAGGCCGTTCCTATGATGATGTTGTTTCATCACACCCATGTCCCACAACATCTTTGTAGTTCTATGCTGACAATAACATCAGCATTATGACCTTATCTATCCTAATTTGCTGATAATCATGTTGAAGATTGAGTGTACTGAATTATTATAATTATCTTACATCGGTAGAATACAACTTAACTGGAGCAATCAAGTTGGGAGCAGAACATCTAGGACAGTGGTAAGAATAAAAAAGATGGTAATACTTTTAAGCAACAATAGCGGGTGCAAATGGTAAGCCTCTACGACCAAACTGATGGAGACATAGCATAAAGCAAAGAAATACTTAAATCTTTAAACTTTGGAAAAAGACCCATTATACAATTTTCCTTCCTACGTTCCT